CACAGAACTCTCCATACTTTTAGCAATCATTTTATCAACTTTTCAAAGTTGTTGTGTATTTCTTCAACTATTCAGCTACATTGTTAGAAGGTAAAATTTGTCAAAACATTTTCTTTATATCTAAGATTTTGTATTCTTTTTTTTCTTGGTTTCTCGATCCTTCACTTACTACATTGGGATCACCATTGCTACAAAATTAAGATTTGCCCAGAAACTCTTAGATTTGTGATATTTTTTATTTGATATGTTAGAAAAGTAATAATTGTCTTGAAAATCCCATGTTGGAGATATTTTGTAGTAGATATTTTAAAAAAGTAAGAATTGTCTAGTAACTTTTAGGTTGAAGATATTTTGTAGTAGATATGTTAGTCTTGAATTAAAATAGGTGGTGCTTAGTGATCCACATAGGTACATAGTTTAGTATGAGATATTTTTCTAATTACATTATTGTGATTCTCACACTTTATATATAAATACACTATATGTAATGAAACATCCTGTGAGAAAATAATTTAACTCAAGAAAACTTAAGCCTTCTTCTTCACTTTCAGATTTCCTATAGCAATTTACAGCTGCGATTTCCTACTATTTAAACCTCCTAGACATGAAGTTCTTCCACTTTTATTGAAACATGGAATCAGAGCCTATTTGCTAAGAGATCTGAATCAAATTTTAATTCTTTAGCTCATCTATTTTATGTTCTTTCTTGAATTTGCTTGCTGAAAAAGTACATAGCACCTGAAAGTCAGCCAACGACACGTCCTCCTACTTTTACGGGAGAGAATTATCACATATGGTCAATCAAAATGAAGGTTAATATAAAGGTGCTCAATTTATGGGAAGTTCTTGCGCACGGAAAACCTGCTGACCAACCATTGAGAGTTAACGCAACTCTCAATGAAATTAAGAAGTATGATGAGTTGTTGAGTAGTACTCCACAAGCTCTCACTTGCGTATATTAATGTCTTACGTACGTCATGTTTTTAAGGATTATGACATGTGAAAAATCCAAAGAGGTCTGGAATAAGTTAAAGGAGGAGTTTGAAGGAAGACGGACACATATCCATCTATATTGTGTACCAATACTAGAAGATATGTTTAGATCATTAATTAAGGATAACTATTTAAAAAATATCATTTCTAGTTTTAACTAGATCTAGATCCGAATATCATACCACATTATCCAGCACTCAGGAGAAGTATAATACAAGGTTGACTTGCAAATAACAAGATAAAAGCAAATAGATCTTTTGATTCACAACCTTTGAAAATTGGACATCCAGATCCATTGATTCTCAAGCTGCATTGGATTGGAATATTTCGTATACATCAAACTTAAAGAAATAACTATTGATCGCGAAAGGCCAGCACTCTCCAAAAATGGGCATGCAGAAGAAAATACCAATGCACAACTTGTTCGTTCTGATATTATCTTCCATGATTGTTTACCAAAGATTCTTCTTTTCATAACAGTGTCATGCTATTTCGTGAACAAATTTATTCGTTCAATTTAAAACCCTAACAAAACTCAAAGAGGAAAGGTGTGTTTGATAGAAAAGGAAAAGTCATCAAAACCAAAAGGTGTGTTTCATAAAAAAGAAAAATTATCAAAATCAAAAGGTGTGTTAGAGAGAAAAGAAAAAAAATCATCAAAACCAAAATGTGTGTTGAATAGAAAAGGAAAAATTCAAAACCTTGGCAAGCCTTTCTAAAGCAAAAAGAGTATATACAGTTGAACTCTATTAATAGAGATTCAATTAAAACCCTAGCCTCCAAAATATGGATCTAAGATCTCTATTCCCAAATCCCAAAGAAACATAGAAGAAAAATGATCAGAGTTGATCGAATTAATAAGTTGTTGGACACACTTATTATTCAGATTTTCTATTTTCTCCAAAAGGTGGTTGTAGAGAATAGCAAAAGAAAAATATAACTGAGAAACTTTCTACTAACCCAAGACTGTTAGCTAAGATAAGAGGATTAAATTAAATAAGCGGAAGCTAGGAAGGAGAAATTATTTATGGAAATACTCTTTTAATTGGTTTTTTCTTAGGTTATTTGAAAATGTACAACACTATCCCCCTATATACTTAACAATGGATGGTTCTAGATACTAAAAACATTTAGACTATTCCATAATTCTCTACAGTTATCTAATTTCTGTAAAATATATACAAGAAATATCTCAGAAAATTATCTTCAACTCTATAATATCTACATATTTCTACAAGTTACTTGAGAAAATTGATGGGAAGGTGACAAAAAGAGTTCAAATTAAAATTTGTTAAAAGTTTGACAGTTTCAAAGTCAATTTTTATAAATTAGTGATTACGATAATTAGGTCTAAAATATAATTACTGAATAACTTGTAAAAGATATCAAATAAATCTCATTCCTCTTTCTCTCAAAAACATGTATCATTGCGACTACGACCCTTCAGTTTGTATCCATTGACCAATATTGCGACTTCCAAACCTTCCTATCATGTTGTGAACACTTCAATTTGTCATCTTTATGTTCGTCTTCTTTGTCCTCGTCTTCATCTACCCCTCAATGTAAAACCTTTTTTTCATAATTAGGGTTTAGCGATTGTAAAGGTTGAAGATCGATTAGGTTGTGTTTGTACATATTTTGAATTATAATTTTTTCTTCCAAGGAAACTCGTATTATAAAGCAATCATCAAAACTAAAGGTAACACGAGAAGCAAAGAATAAAAAATGGTTCATATCATCCATTGTAGTCTTCCAAAAAGGTATATAACTAATCAGTAAAAACAAAGTATATCGTCAACATAATAATGATAGGATATCATTCCACATAACTATAATCTTATAAGTAAACTTATTATGTTTTTTTATGATGAAAATGAGGCAAAGGACAGACATTTAAATTTTATTTTTAGGACTTGAAAGGAGAGTGAAGATATGAAAAATGGAATTTTTGTAAGCACATCAATTTATCAACTACAATAGATTCTGCAATTTGTTTAACATAAGTATACTCTGTCTTTCTTACTTGAAAGATTTCACTATTTCCCTTTTTATCCTTACTTTGTTTGATACTTTACAATAGATGTTAATCGTCTAAGCACACAAAAATGTTCATCAACATCTATGTTGTTCCAACTCTTCAAATATATTATCTGGTTGCATGTCTGTTCATCAACATATATGTTCGCACTCAAAACTTGTCTAGTTTACATTGTCTTTATTCAATAAGATCATAGAAAGAGTTCATAAAAAGATGATACATCTATTTACAACAAATGTTATGATTATTTGTCACGACCTAACTAAGGGTCATGACAGGCACTAAGGGGCGCAAAGGGGGAGAATTCCAAAATAAGCTTACCAAAGTTCTAGAGAAAACTGGGAATAGTTTTCCTAATTTGTTTTAGGCATATAGTAAATTTTCCCTGTCTTAGAAATCCACAACACAACTAATAAAATTTATAAATTAAGACATAATATCCATCAATGATCTAATTGTCACACAATAATATTAATTCATCTCCAAATATTTAAAAAAAGAGGTTAAACTAGTCACTTGACTACAATTCGAAGGAACAATCAAGATTATAAACAAGAACTGACAAATGGAGCAAATTTAAGAGATTAAAAGCAACTAGATAAATAATAGATAATCAATACTTTTCTTGCCACGCGAAGATTTGCGGGTCTCACCAAATGCTACCAAATCACCCTCTGTAGCTAATGAAATCCTCTTAATTACCACATGAGTACTTTGTAAAAACATTTAGCGAGGAGTGAGACGTTAGCTTAATGAATAGTAATACTTATCAAAAACAATTTTAATGAGCGAAAAGTTAGAAAACATGCTACTATAATATCATAATGATGAAATAATGATCTTTCAGAAATGATAACAATATTCAATATGATGTGCCTCATATAAGCAAAACTAATGTAATTACTTAATAGTTAACTCAGTAAAATATTTCCATATGAAATCTTATAGATGGGAGGTTTTCAAGGATGAATCATGTAATCAATGTGACCTTTTCTTTTAGAAGAACCTAATAACACTGAACTCCTCATTAATGAATTCATATTCACATCAGTAGGTCCCCGCTCGAGCGATATCAGTTTTAGTATACTAGTTCTACAAGGGCTTTAACAGTAATTAATAACTACAAGGTGCACTAGGTCTAACAAACACTTCATTAGCTACGAGATTCATCAACGTCTACTCCCATTTATAATTTTCTTTTAATCATTAGACACATTTCAAAATTGAACAAAGAATTTAAATCTTATCAAATCATATTATTTCAAATCTTAACAATCACATGTCAAAATACTATTTCTCAAATGAGTGTCAAACATTTTCATTAACAGTAACCATATCATGTAAGAATGAAATTATCTAAAACAATTTTTCAGTATAATATACAGTGAAAGACTTATCCCACATGCAAGTTCAAAACACTCAGTAACACATTTACTTTATAAACCATGTAAAAACCATGAAGTACTTGTATTGAAAGACCAAGCTAATCAATCAAATGGTCCGTATGAATTCCTTTCACTACAAAAAAAAATAGTGTTTAGCGACACTTATATATGCATGTCTATCTAAGGAAGGATTAGTGATAAAATAATGTGTATGTTACTAAAAAAAATAAAAATCAATTTTGTAACAACACTTGCGACAAACTAGAGGCTAATTAGCAAGAACAAGCAAATTTGTGCCTTTATCTTGCAACAAAAATAGCAATATAGGCATGATATTTTTTTTGTGAAAACTTACTGACTGATTCAATAATGAATTGTTTGTCTTTAAACTAAAAATTAGATTAAAAGTCATATCAACAAAATTGAATTGCAGTTAAATATTTTTTTAATAAATTGTTCTATAACAAAATAATATATATATTGACAGATATATAATTTCGTAGTTAAAATCGTTTGTTTTGTTAAGTAAATATTAGGAATACTTTTTTATTTATTCTAGAACATGTTCTCTCTTCCAAAACACATTGCTCTTGGATACTTAGAGACTTCTCCTGAGACCTAACTCATCTTCATCAAGGTGACCATCGACTTGGAGAGCTTATCAACAACTTTCCTTTTTCCTTTCTTCTTGTTTATTTTATTGCACTATGTAAGAGACCCGAAACATGGAGAGCATCTGTATTGTAGAAGCACATAGCACAAAATTCGCCAACTTCTAAAGAACTAGCATAAATAGTTGCTTTCTTGTGATGTTTTTCAGGTATGTGAATCTGTTTTATTCTTGAAAAGTTGATATCTTCTAGGGTTTATTCATATGTGTTGATTCTTATGTGAAATTGAGTTGCTTACTTTTATTCACCGAAGAATCTGCTAGTTCATTGCTTTAATTCATTTGGAATCTAGTAGGATTTTTAATTTATTTATGAAGTTGGGTGAATCTTCTATTTATTTTCTTTAATTCATTTGGAATCTAATAGGTTCTTTATTCTTTTATGAAGTTGGGTTAATCGCCTAGTCTTTTGCTTTAATTAGTTAGGAATGTTGTAGGGTTTTTTATTTATTTTTGATGTTTGGTGAATATGCTAGTTATTTGCTTTAATTTGTCTGGAATATGGTAGGTTTTTTATTTATTCATGAATAGTTGATATCTTCTAGGGAACTAATTTATAGGACGCATTGTTGATTGTTTTATTATTAGTGTGGATATTATTTCTTTGTAAATGTTGTTGTTCTGATATTGTGGCTTCAGTTGCAGAATAGTGCAAGTTCTTTATTACAATATAGAACTAAGTGATTTTAATACCTGATTGCAAATTGAGAAAGAAAGAAAATTTCTCAACTAGTATATTTTCGTTCTCTGAAACTAAAAAAAAATAGTAAAAACATTCTCTACCTTGAGGAATTCAACTTGTTGCACTGTGCAATCCTATGATACTTTGATAATTCTTCAGTAAAGTTTTGTGACCTTGATTAAGTTCGTGTCTCTTTACTTGAAATTTTAATAATGTCGGAAAAGTCCTACCAGAGTATCTAGACATTCCTTTGTATAATGTCTTGTTTCATGTAAAATATCCAAGTGTTATTCTTCTCTTTAGTTTGTTAGAATAAACTACTTTGAATATCAAATAAGTCTCGAATATATAATATTTTATTATTGATATTGTGCTACTTCTAAAGTTTAGTATATTGTTGTCTTACCTTGGTAATGTTTTGAATTCTATTGTTTAGAATGCTTGTGCAAGTGGTGAAGATGCAAAGATATTCGCAGGTGATTATAAATGCTCTACAACATTTAAACTATATTTTGTAGATATTGAAAGAGTGCTGTGAGAATGACCTTTGAATTTCATATAGCAATCTCACGTTTACATTCATGATCAGATCATATCATGTACTGTGTGTTTAGAACTTTTTTCAACTATAAAAGAGAGATTTGATATTTGTAAAGACGTAGTATCATCCTTTAATTAGAGAAAATGTTACTTAAATCATGTTACTTTTGAGTGATTAATTTTTATATAGATACTAAATAACAAATTAAATATTTACAAAGAAGTCATAATTGAAATGGAATTAGTTCTGCACAGATTTGATAGTCATAGTATATCCTTGTCTTTCGCCATTTAGATGTGATAAGACAAGCTTAAAAAATATAGATAATCATATCTGTCCTTAACACAGGTCCAAGAAAATTAAACACTGTAGATCAACGTGAAAAACCCATTCAATGATTCTATCAAATATGAAAAATTTGTGATGTAGCACCAACATAAGGTGATTAGATGCCCAAGAAGCACTTGTTGAAATAAAATTCTATTCGTCTAACATATTTTTAAAAACTAAGGCAGAAGTTGTATGTAAATAATCTGCATCTTGAGTTTCTAGGATGTAGTTGCACTATCGCAAATCATAGCCCAATCCACGCAATCATCCGACCCAGTCCTAACATCATGATTTTTCTATTAATAGTCAAATAAGATTACTTTTAAAATTTGTGACGTATGTTGGAAACAAGTTCAGTTTTACAAGATTAAGTTGACTTGCAACAAGTCACAAGTATGAGTAGTAGCCTGAAAAAGTTGATAACTATAAGAATAAGTATATTTTATTTTACTTTCTAATAACAGTGGTAAAATTACTGCTCAACATCAATATAATTAGCATATTATCAATAATCCGCTGTTATATTTGATTCTGCTTTCGATTTACAATGGTAAAAGTATTCTTCCATATCAATTTGAGAATTTTATTAATAGCCCCCCCCCTCTCATTTATCTTCATCTTAATATCTCTGTTTTCACATGTTAATACCCCCATAATATAATAAATTATGATTTTCTTTTTGAGAAGTAAACATTACCTTACTACTATTATTTGTAGATTTAATGTTTAAACTCGTTATAGCTAAATTTGAAGAAAAGTGTTCCTGAACTTCACAACTCAAGCACGTAGCAAGCCAAACAAAAGTGTCTGGAGGAGAAGATAGAGTAGCAAAAGGAAAAGAGACTTAATGTAGAAAAATACTTGTATCTTTTATTTCTTATCAGGTATTACTTGAGCAAATGTATTGTATCGTTATTTAACTTGTTTTCGATGATGTGCAACTATATCTATTAATTTCTAAAATTGACATTAGTTATCTACATGTGTTATCGTATTTACATGCAACTTACTAATTTGATTATTTAGGAAGTCCATGCTAGAGGCAACACAAGTTGTGCTCAAATAAAGAGTTGACTAGAGAATATAATTATTGTGACCCTACTTTGAAGGATAAGAAGATACCTTTAATTTCTTTGTGTTCTTTGAAGTAGTTATATATGTTGCTTTGAGACTAGTAAAAATTGAGTATTTTGCTGAAATACCGAGGAATCCTGTTCAGTGTTCAGTAATTTTTTTCCTGTACTTCAATATTCTTATTTGTTAATAAAATTGCATATTTATAAAAATATGATAAGAAAAAGGGATAATACACAAGTACCCCCCTCAACCTATGCCCGAAATCTCATAGACACACTCATAGTATACTAAGGTCGTATTACCCCCCAGAAACTTATTTTATTAATAATTTTCTATCTCTTTTCAGCCTATGTGGCACTATCTTGTGGGCCAATTCTTGTTGACTTAATTTTCAAGCTAGTGCCACGTAAGTCAAAACCAGGTAAAAGATTACTCATAAAATAAGTTCAGAGGGGTAATAGGGCCTTAATATAGTTTAAGTGTGTCTTTGAAAGCTATAATTGACAACTTTTTGCTACATTCGACTTGCTTATTAAAGCTATAATTTTCTTTGACATTCTTGTAATGAAAATTTAATGCCAAACTTAGAGGTCATTATTAAGGTGAAAAGGTTTTTTTTTCTTTCCAATTAAAACTTTTGTTAACCATTATTATGGAGAATAATAAATATAAGTCTGTTTTTTAAATTTTTTTTGGTAATTTAATAAAAATATTAATGAGAGGGTCATCATTGTATTATTAATTATAAAAAATATGTTTTCTAATTATTTTAACATTATAAGGAACATGAATAATAAAGAGAATGGTTGGATGTATACAAGGTTGGATAGACAAGAAGATATAAACTCTAGTTTCGTCACTGGTGTGAGTAACTTTTTTCAGTTTTCATGTTCTTGACCAAATCACATGATTGGTAACAACGTTAGATGCCCATGGAAAAAATTCCACAACATTAAATACATGGACATTGAGAGACGTTGAGACCGTTAAATATCACATTTTTCATTCAGGATTTGTTGAGTACTATTATGTTTCGAAACATCAAGGGGAAAAGAGTTTACTAGGGATATTTCTTATGCTAATGATTGGAATGGTAGTCCTCAATATGAATCAAGACACGTTAATCCATATCAACAAATGGTTTTGGATACAGCTTATCCCAAATTTGACCATGGTTGGAGTAGGAAATCTTATAGCAATATTAACTCTTAGTCCTCCCATCTTTATAAAACTTTAATAGAGGAGTAGCCAAATCCTTCAATGGAGGAGGGTCTAAATCTTCCAATGGAGGAGGATTCTAATCCATAGTTTCAAAAATTTTATTATTTGCTATAGGTTGCTGATGCAAAATTATGTCCTTGTTCTTCCCTTTTCAACTTGCAATTGCTTCTCGTATGTTGATTTTTAAAATGGAGAATAGTATGTCAGAGTGAGTGATACGCTCAATTTACACCTCCGTAAATATGTATTAGCGGTCGATATCAATTAGATAACCCAGCTAGTAGGTTGGGTTCGATCCCACAAGGATAATCATTTAGACTTAACTTCAAGTCACTATTATGTCTATTTAGCCAAGGACATTCCAAAAGCAAGTAATTAAAGAAAGGGGGTTTATAATAAAAGTTCCTTAAACAATCTATGATAACAAATATGCAAAAGTACATACGGAGTTTTTATCAAGTTGAGAGACTAACTAAGATATAAGTGTTCCCCATAGGTTCATAATGTCGTATTCCTAGCAATAAAAATTCTTCACTAGTCTTTTGCATGTAAAGTTGTAAGTTATGTATCTCCAAATTCTTGGTCAGACATCTAGAAAATTTCACCTCATACCTTGGTCCAGCTACATGTGTATAAACTACTAACCCTTACCTTCACCTTATATTAAACATCATAAAAGATGTATGACTTAGTTATTACCTCGCACCCATCGACATAGTCTATTAGATAGTATCACACTATAATCTATGCTGATAATTCTTTTCTTATGAACTATCTCCTTGGTCCAGCAAGTAGAAACAAGGCTAGTGTTAATGCGTGCACTCGTCAAAAGGACTTCTAACAAAAGAATTATCAATACATGCAAGAACCTATTTGAGAATTGCTAATTTGGTAGGTTTACTTTGCTAATTACCCATGGTTCCCACAATCCTAGTTGTTGATTGAGTTTTCCGTCAATTCAAGTTCACAATTTATAGTTTTTGACAAAGAAATCATGAACTTGCTCAACAATAAGAACAAACTCAGATATTCAACTTGAAATTCCATGTAAGACCTTCAAATCAAACTACAAAATTAATTGATTGCTAAAATTTGCAACACCAATCTCCAAACACAAAGTAGGACAATAATAAAAGTGTCTAGCCCCAAAAACGAGGTTCGAATCCCTATTTACTGAAAAGTAGTCCAGAATAAAAAAGAATTGAAATAAGGGAAGTCTTGTCCATAAACGCGGCTACACTCAACGGCCTCAAAGACGGACCATCGACTGCCTCCGTAAGTCCATACATAGAAAAAATTTTCTTCACTGGTTAGCACCTTCTCTGAATCGAACGATAGACCAGCAGTACGATCCGTTGATCCATCTATACCCCAACAATGATCCTCCGTTGTTCCATACTTAGAAGTTTAAAGAAGTCAGGTACTGGAACCTTCTATAAACCAATAGAGGGTTCATCAGTAAGGTCTGTTGATTAATTTATGGACCATTGTTTGATCTTGTGGTTCCACACTTAGTCAGATATCTTCGATATTCTCCCTTAGCCTGAATTGTATAGTAACCGCCACCACCTATGGTGCGTCGATGAGACTATGGAACGTTGATGGCCTTCGTAGGTCATGAATTTGCACTTTCATCCTGCAGCCTTATGAGTTTTTATCCTACAAATCTTTCCTAAAAAACAAGACACAAAAATTGTTAAGACTACGACAAAAAGTCTTTAGATACACACAACTATTAAGTTAAATGCACTGAAAACACTATGTGACCATGGTATATCCGCGAGGTTATAACCAAATGAAACACTTGATGAAAGAGGATTTACCTAAAGAGAACATATTTCTAGATAGATATTATCAAATCAAAACCTAGTGTGTAGCTTCGGTTTGCCGTTTTAAAATATCGATTGTTGTGAATCAGGTTGTATGTTGTATTGGGAAGATGATGAGCACCTTACATCTTGTAAATTTATGGTTGCCAAAGGTATAAGTGTAGTCTTGACTCTCGTAATAGGAAATTCGTCCCTTATAAATAATGTACTATTTTCTTTTGTTTCCTAGATTGAAGAGATTATATGCATTACTTGCTATAATTGCTGACATGAGATGGCATCATCGGCACATAAAATAGGATGATGTAATGTGTCATCCATCAGACTCTGAGGCTTGGAAGAAATTCAATTAAGCTAATTCTTTTTTCATAACCATGTAAGGTTGGAACTATGTTCTGATGGTTTCCAACCATTTGGTCAGTCTAGGAGGAAATACTCTTTGTGGCCAGTGATTGTCACTCCATACAATTTACCTCAAGAGATGTGTATGAATGAGTCTTATATGTTCTTAACAGTCATTTTTCCAGGTACAAACAATCCAAAACGTAAAATAGATGTTAATCTAAAAACTTTAATAAATAAATTGGCCTTTCTCTGGGATACAAGTATAGAAGTATTCAAGATCTCAAAGAAGAAAAATTTACACTATGGACGGGTTTAATGTGGATGACTAGTGAATTTCCTGCGTATTATATGTTATCAGGATGGAGTACTACAGGTAAGTTAGAATGTCCTTATTGTATGGAGGAAACACAATCCTTTCCGTCACAACATTGAAGGAAACATATTGGTTTGACGGTCATAGAATGTTCCTTGATCAACATCATCCATTTAGGAGAGATCATAAAAACATTCTTAAAGGTTAGACAATAAAAACACCACCACTAACCTATAGAATTTGAGAGGAAATTCTAAACCAAATTTGTGAATTGGGATGAAGAAAGTTGTAGAGTTAGATGAATAAGAAGTTAATAGAACAATATATGTGTTGTGGATGGAAAAAGAGAAGTAACTTCTGGGACTTCCCTTATTGGATTTCTGACATGTTTGACATAACCTTGATGTCATACATATTGAGAAAAATGTTTTGATAATGTATTCAACACTCTTCTTAATATTGAAGACAAAACAAATTACAATCCACAATCCCGTCTTGATGTGGTAAGGTATTAAAAAAAACATCAATTGGCAAAGGATACTAATGGAAAATATCCCGAAGTTGTGTGCACAATAGACAAGGAACAAAAAGCAATCTTGTTCAATTGGGTGAACAAGTTAAAGTTCCAGAAGGGTATGTTTCTAATTTGGGTAGATATCTAGAAACAAATACAAAAAGATTATTTGACATGAAAAGTAAGGATTATCATGTGTTCATGCAAGAACTAATGCCTTTTGATTTTCGTGAACTACTTCCTAGCAATGTGTTGCAGTCAATTACAGATCTAAGCTTACTTTTTAAAGATCTTACATCAACAACTCTACTCGTGGATGAAATGGGGAATTTTGTGGAAGTTAGAACACATGTTATCTCATGGATTCTTTGAATCAATGTAACATCTCCTTGTGAACCTTCCATATGTAACAAGAATCGTTGTACCTGTACAATATCAATGGATGTATCCATTGAAATGGATGTATCCATTGAATGGTAGTATGAAACATCATTTCAAACTTGTGATACATATACTATACATATATTTCAAATGTAATGAATCCATCCATTTAACTATTTAAGTATCTTGGAACTCTTAAAAGAATGATTGTAAATAAAGCTTGTTTTGAGGGTTCCATTTGTAAAACATACTTTATGACATAGTCAACACAATTATTTTCTCATTATTTTG